ACTCCCCCTGGCTACGCCACTGCAGTAAATGAAACGTAGATGATAAAAGTTTATTTTCTTTTATTGAATATTTACCTAACCTATTTAATCTTGTACAATAAGTAAATGAGATAATACATTTTTTTTTCCACTCACTTGAGCGGCATGAGCAGGGAAACTATCCCAATGATAGAACCCAACGTGATTTATTTTAATTTAATTTTTTGTCTTTCTTACTCTAAATAACATAATTATTAGTATCTACACCAATTACGTTTGAGACGGCGCATTGGATTTCCAGAGAGTGTTGTACACGAGGGTAAGGAAATTAAAGGGTTATTGGGTGTATTGCTAATTTTGAATGAATCTCGAGTATAGTGTTTGGTAGCTAGTTAATTGACTGTTTCGATTTTGAGGTTCTTATGGAAAGTTTTTGTTAGATACTTGGATATGTACGATGTACCGATGTACCAGGRTGCTGAAGCGACAAGACGGGAGACAGTTGCTTGTATGGAACGGTTTTGGGAAAGTTTACCACAACCTCAAATATGAATTGCATAAGCGCCCACATGGGTCTTATAAGTGGCTTGTAAACATAATAAAGGTTAGATTTAAGGATTGGTTGAATGATATGTTTATGACTATTAAGTTTTTTTCTTTTATCTCTTCAGCAGTGAGGGATGAGAGTATACCTAAGCATTTTATCAAGAGATATTTTACGTTTGAGAAAGAAGAAATATAAATTGTATTACTTCAAAATATAAAGGCCATAAACTAGGGAGACATTCGGCTTTTTTTAAAGTGAAAACGACATGTACCTACCGATTATTTGGAATTGATTTTTATTCACCATTTTGTTGTCCAATTTTCAATTTGACTTAAATGATTGTGTATAATGAAATAGTGGTTTGAAGTTTGAACTGGGTCACTTCCGGGGGATAGGATTGCAATATCATCAGCGTGTACGCCGTACGGCCATAAACCGAAGAGTTAAACGAGGGCTAATATTTCATAATTGCAAAACTAAAATTATAAAAGTTTCTTTGTTGATACAAAGAAACTGATGAATTATGGAAGGTATATATGTATATAAGACTTATTAAGAGATTGGTTCTGTATAATGGTAGGTAGTATATATAGGAATCCACTACAGCTGATGTTTGTGATTAAAAGTCGATAAGCTTGAACTTAAATCCCAACAGAATCGTTTAGATTTACAATAGTTTTTCGAACTTTTATCTAATGAACTAGACTAATGACTAATCTATAGATATAGGTAAGTCAAACATCAATCTTTTATTTTTATAAAATGCTTATTTAAAACTTCATATATGTTATAGGTACATATTTTAGGAGTATTGTAATATTACTTTGACGAAATTTGTCAGGTGTGTCTGTATGGCTGTGTCTATTCGGTAGATAGGTGCCTATACTTCATGATATTCAACTTAATAGACATTATTATGTTGTAGTATTGTAACTTTGTAAACATATTATATGTACCTACATCTGTCTTTATACATAATAAACAATATAGTAAAATTGGAAATTGACGTGCTTTAAACTAATTAGAGTAGGTATATTATATTMTATTAGAGTTGTAACTTCTACAAATACATTATACATCACAGTATTAAATATAATAATTGAACACCTGTCCAATTGTTTCAATTATTTCAATAGTTATTCAATACCGTGTCTAAATTAATAAAGTACATGTGACATGTATATATATATATATCAATATAGTATGTACGACCTGCAGTCATTTAACTTCGTTAAGTCGAATTTGGTCTAGTATAAATTAATTACATGGAATTTAACGTAAGTACCTAAGTCTGCAATGCTGCAAATCTAATACAATTATTATTATTATTATTATTATGAGATCCAATTGTTTTATGTTGTGTTTTAAGCGTTACTTTATAAATATAAATAATTTATGATTACATACTCGATCACTGTATACCTACTTGCATGTCGCTTTTTACAGATTATAATGGCTAAGTCACTAACCATAATCTTTGTGAGCTTTATTTTTTCAACGAGCATTTCATTCGGTAAAGATGCGTGCGATAACTACGAAGATAAGGATTGCGTTCATCCAAATATACTTAAAAATGGCCACTTCATTAACCAATGGACAGTTAATTTGCCCGGAATGACCAAGGATGAAGCTAGAAAACTGTTGGAAGATAATGGTTTTGATTATTTAGGAAAGGTTACAATTTTTCAAGTCAATTAAATATGAAGATAAATTCAATACATTTTGTTGTTTAGATAATGGACGGGGTCGATTTGYATCTTGTAACAAAAAAAGGTACACACGAAAAACATGCCTTGCCTAATGAAAGAATAATAGAATTACTTAAGAAACACGAAAAAGTTGAGTAAAAATATTTATAAAATAATTTCCTTTATAATTATTATTTCTACTTTTATAGCTTTTAAAAGATATAAAAACGACTATTTAAATATTTCGGTAATTGATTTTTTAAAACATAATTTGCAATTTTAATTTCACAAAAGCAGTACAAAAAATGATTTATTCAAAAGATAACATTTTGGAGAAAATTAATAATTATGTCCTATCCTGCAGGCTTTATTTTTGGTTTTGCCTTATTTCAATAAATTATGATTTGAAATATTTGAATCTCACATAAAATGTATTTAAGCTAAATATTGATTTTAAATATATACCTTTGAATTTTRYACATTAATAACAGCAATTAATTCCGTATTAAAGACAGTAATTATTCTATGCAAATTTATTTTTTATTGCTGTCATTTTGTGTGACAATGTAGCATCGAAAATGAATATYACTTTTAAACTTTAATGGATGACATAATTAACTATAAATTATCAAAAGAACTWAAGTATTATTAAATTWAATTTTTACACAAACTTATAATTGCATTTAAGAAAAAAGAACATTCTATAATGTTAATACCTACGACCTACCTACCGAAAGAAAAGATTTATTAAGAACTTCAGATTATTTGGCGTAGGTATATGACAAAAAACCATTTAGGCTTCTATTTTTTCTCATCTTCAACTCAGTTCAATATCAAACTTTATATATTCCTATATATTTCCATTTTACAAGCAATTCTTGCATACTAACAATAATTAATCCAACCAAAGCAATTTATAGTCAATTACGATTTTCTAGTTACAAATTCAAGCGTAGGTGCTGTACAGTACAGGCGTAAACAACATAGACGGTAATTAGGTGCAAATGATGCAATTTATGTGGGGAAAGGTGGGTGATTTTCATTTTAAAGTACCAATAATATATTATATAGATATTATTGTAAGAATTTCATAAAAGTATATATTACATAAAAACTTAAGTTTCCTTTATCGTTTAAAAAATAAAAAAAGGATATCAGCTGCGATATTTATATATTGTTTACACTTTTTACACGTTGATTGTAGTTTTTCTACATATTTGTTGAATCTGATCAAAGCGAGGAATCTGCAAGCACCTATTAAAATGATGTAGGTACATACTGTTGTTTTTGTGATCAAATATTACAACAAAGTGGTTTCGTTCCACTCTTCACTTTTGTGGGTAATTTCTGATAGAATGTTTTACCTATAGTTARTAGGTTAAAGTAAAAAATAAATCTTCACAAAACATGTTTTCCATAAACAAACGAAAAACAACTGAAAATTAAAGTATGAAATATTAGTTAAATTTTGCTTATTGTAATCTTATGAGAGACTATCTATTGAGACTTGAACATTTAAACAAATTCTTACAAAGACAACTATTTTCTAAACATAGAATGAACTTAAAAATATTTTTTGAGCCAGAAAGAAACATTTGAAATTTTTATAACAATTTTGAGCCTGTTTTTAAAAAAGCTATTCATTGCAATTTTTATAATAATATATGGATTTTCMCTGAAGAAAAAATAACGCACTTTTAATGAGGTAAATTAGGTATCTACATAAGAAATATTCTTATCGTACATCGTATTTTTATCTTGCCATCGCATGAATTAATATTGTTTTAAAATAAAACCTGACAACGGTTGGAGGCTTAGCTGTGAAACATTTTTTTTAGGGTTTGGGGGAGGGATATTAAACATCTCACTTTAAGATAGTTTTTGTTAACGTCCTAATGGCGTTGATAAGTTATATCTTAAATCGTGCTGTCTGTCTAAACGAATATATTGTTGAAGATTTATATTATGATATTATAATCAAAAACGAAAAATAATAAAAAAACGTCTGGATAATACGCCACTGACGGGCGTAAAAAATGTACTATTAATTATAATATCATTTATGGATTACAGGTTTTACCAAAACATTAATATGGATTCTCATATAATGAAGTTTTTTTTATTTGTTTACTGCCATTTATTGTTAATTGTAACCAATCAAATTTGTTTTCTATTTTTATAATACCAACGTTAATAAAATCAGCTAATATAGGTACAAACTATCGCTAATTATTGCTTTAGAATTGTAATTCTGGCGTAGCAACATATTCCACAGCAATATTAAATACAAATTATATATTCTCTGATTGTAAGTTCTATACAGATAATAGGTATCTCTTCAGTGATTACAATAGGTACATTGAAAAAAGTAGATAACGATAGTATAGATAATCAAAAATGTCCAATTGGTAAATCATTTTTTTTATACCGACTACAAAAACGTTTCCGGCGTGACTCAATATACTCATACGCAGCTAATATAAACGAATAAAAAATTTTGGTTTTCCTTTAGGTGCATTCGGTCGCACAAAAGCACGTGCTTGAAAACTCACAGGATGAGGTGATAAACATAATCAATGAGGATAACATTAAATTCGAGTTCTTGGATCCCAACACGATCGTCCTGAATGACGGAAAGGACAACTTGGAAAGAATAACTGCCTTCGAGGCTGCTGAAGCCACGAATGCTGAAGCCACGAATACTGAAGCCACGAATGCTGAAGCCACGAATACTGAAGCCGCGAATGCTGCAGCATCGCCAGATTATACTGAAAATACAAAAACAAATGTTAGAACTGTAGTTGATGGCGGTGACCACGGTAATCCCAAAAAGAAACACGACGATGTGTCTAGTTCAAATTATGGAACTCCATCCGGGTCGTCGGATTACGACGATTCACCGGAATTAGATTTGTCAAACGAGACATTTTCGGCAGCGGATCCGTCAAACAACGAATCATCAGATAAGGAGACATCGGATGAGGAGGTCTTGGATGAAACGGAAACAAGACACGATGAATAAGAATCTGCAAGACTTTCAATCTGCCGTATAGATCTTGATGCAAAAATGCGAAATCGAKTGTAGAAATTATAATTTATTAAAAATCTTATAATTTTGGCTACTGCCCACATCTAACGAAAAAAATATGTCATTACTTTTTTTAGTAAAATATATGAATTTAAAATTATTTAAAATATGTATAGTAGGTCGAAAATAATTTATTACATAATATTACGACTGACTTCTGTCAGGTAGAAGCAATTTCAGAAGGAATCACCATTTCATGTAACTTATTAAAAAAAAATATCTTTGTTTTTTCTAGATTATTTAAATTTAAGGTTTTGTAACTAAATTGTTTCTCATTACACTATAATATTAATCACGCGGATAACACGAATCTATCATATTTATTCATCTCGTTGTCTTATATATAATATATGTAGTGGTTACTAAAATAGGTATTCCTTGAATTTTCTGGTAATTGGGTGACAGCTATAGTAGTGGACTGGCTTGCACTATAATTCTATAACACATTGGACCGGTACCAACTTATAAGAGTTGGCCGATCGCAAAGATATCTATAATTTAGGGGCGTTCTTACAATGTCCGGTTAAAGTTAACAGACACTTAACCAACGGAATTTTTTCCATTAAAAGTCCCACTAACCATCGGTTAGTCGTTAACGGACACTTAACCGGATATTGTAAGAACCTACTTTAGTATTTTCCTATTTTTTGTTTTCGTTTAGGTAATGTTATAAATGGTATAATACAAAAATATTAATATTGACAWCAATAGAATTAAAAATAGCGTGTTTCTAGAAATKTCATCATTGTCCTTTCTGGTATTTTATGCAATGTATTGTGCAACGCATTTATAAAGAATAAATAAATCCAAATCAATTTAAAAGCTCAAGAATCCAGCAAAATTAAACAAAAAATAGGCTTTACTGTTTAGCTCAGAAAAGTTAGTATATACCAAGCTGAATTTCAGTACACACCTTTATTACGCCGTTACCAACAATGTCTGAAAAATTCAAAAATCCCCATCGATATCATATAGATAAGTGTTAAAAATTATTCGTGGTCAATTGTTACGAAACTACATTTTTGTAAACATCTCACTTTTCATTTTATCGTAGGATGAAAAAGTTTCGAACAAAAATTATATATAGGACATAATTTTATCTACAAAATAGGTCTTAACTCTGAAGGTATTATCTGCAGGTAAGAGATATAGTTTTTGATTTTTAAGCTATAAGCTTGAAACTATCAAATCTTTAAAGAGATGTGATTTTTTTTTATTAAAAGCAATAAGGGTATTTAAATTTTTTATTCGATGGTAGGTATGAAAATAAGTTTCAAATAAATACTTTAGAATGTACAAGTACTCGTTCTAGCGGTAGGTACAGAAGTGCATATTATTCGACGGGGTTGGTAAATTAAGTCCCAAATGACCCTAACTCGGTAAGTTGAGTCCCAGAAAAAATAAGGTAATAGTATAGGTAATTCGATTCCCAGGGAAAAACGATTTATATGTATTTAAAATTAAAATATATGCACTATAAAAATTTTATTTGTGATTTGTGGACATTCATTGACTGCATGTATATGATTTTGAAAATAGCAACATGCATTTTTATTGCATTTTTATTAATTATATAATTATTTTTTCCCCAACGATTAAATAACGATACACTCTTAACAATAATACCAAAGCACTCACAGTCAATAAAAGTCGATAACTTTGTAACATCGTACCTACTACCTTTGATATATAATATAATAAAATAATAATTTTTTTTTTTTGATTAATTTGTAAATAATTGGAGTGTATAATAATATAATGTAATGTATAATATTATTAATTACATTTATGTTTTTTTAATTAATTTATATTTTTAATATTTTTAATCAATATAAATCTAAATATTATATCCTTATATCTATATAAATACCTAGCTTAACATAAGTCAAAATATTTACTTACTACCTGTTTTTCCCGGAACTCAATTTGCCGCTTTCAAAATGTACCAAACTTATCTCGGACTCAATTTACCTAGCCCCATTATTCGAATGATTGTTGTATACACGTCATTTTTTAAGGCGTTACAATATTCGTATGCTGCCATACTTCGGAGGAACTGTAGGAAAAATAACAAATTAATAAGACATTATGATTACTGTTCATTTTCAATTGTATTATTATTTTATACTTCTATATTTTAAATTAAAAACAAAATTTTGGCCAAAAAATGTATACATGTACAAGTATAATATATCATGTGATATTAGAATATTAGATCAAGTATATATTACACTTGGATAATTTTCCAAAATTATTTATTTTGATAAATAACTGATGTTTATACTAATATTTTCAAATCTTATAAGCCSTCTCATCTCTATACACTTAATTCACAAATCAACAAAATACCTTATAAGCATTCGAAAATATGATATTCAAATTATTTATTTAAAAATTCCAACAATCAGAATTGGAGTATATTATACATAATTTAATCATAAAAATATAGTGATCATGCTTGAAAAATCGCCCTCTATATACACACAAAATACAAATCACTATTAATTAATCAATATTAAATCAGWAGTTATACTTMGATACTTAATACATTGTGTTTATAAATTATATTAGGTACCTGCATAYTATACAATAGTAAGCTTTGTCCCCGACTCCCYGTACCCTATCGCTTCGCCCAGCAGTTCATTGGAAAGTTGACATAATGTTTAAATATTTCACTATTTTACTTCGTTATATTTAAAAGCACTTTACTCTTTTAGTTACTATAGTAGGTACTATTTGTAATAATAATAATAATAATAATAATTCTTTATTTACGAGGGAATAAATGGTTGCCGTCAATTATTATTTTGAACAGAGAATAWTATATAATCTAATATTAAATTATATTGTTCATCCATTTAAATTTAAAATCTATAATTCCCAAATTTAATGATAACAATGAATATAATAATTAGAATGATAATAGTTAAACCTTTGTGCTATAATAAATTAACTTGTTATTAAATCTAAAAATAAGAATATTATTGAAGCCTTTTAATATTAGAAAAATCTTACAGAACATTCTGATCTTTAAATTTTATAATAAATATTATACTCACTGTTTTCTGTTTAATCATATTTTATTTTGGTTGTTGTGATGGTTTAATTACGGATCAGAGGTCTAAAAACGCATAGGTAATGTGATCAAAGCCTAGTAAATYCGTGTGAAAAGGTAAATAGGCAATMATTTTAGATTAATCAAACATTTAGTAAGTACCATAATATAAGTATATAATAAATATTAAAATAATATGCTCTTCATTGAGTTAGTCATTAATTTTTATTTAACACATCTAATACGCAGTGTTCATAATATATCAATGATTTCCATAATGAARTGTACTTGACATCTACAAAACAATTATCGGCATAACTAAAGGAAATTAGSCCCTCCATCCTTCCAAGRAGTTTAGATTAACATCTAAATTCTTGCGTAAAAAAAATAATTCTATAACTTTGATCCATTAAGACTTATTATAGCGACTGCTTTACTTTAATAACGCTCACGATGCGAAGTGTAGAGGCTTTGTCTCCCACGGCTTATTTTGAACTTKGTTTTTCTATGACTTTAGTCTGATATAATAAGTATTTTTAGGTTATCTAGAACTGAATATGCTATGAAATACCTATTTAWATGTTCTACAATTCAATAAAACATTTAAGTRTGTACTTAGTTATTGKTTTTTTTTWTWTTWTTATTATTATTATTATCTGAGCGGAGCGATTAATGTAGTTATTGGTTCTACAATCGTATGTTTTTCATCTATCTAAAGACATAATCAACAAAATACTATCAACAAAAAACAAAGTTATTTATTTGTACACGGCTTTATATAATATCCTTTGGTATTTTTAAAATTTTTGATCGCGGCACAAAACGTTGGAAGATTTTCCCTTACTTAAACATCATAAAGTGTCACGMTTTTCTTTTACAAACACACGTTTTATATTCTTAATCACACCCGTTTTACATAATATTACATTTCTTAATTTCTCTCAATTATTTGARAACGCGTGACACCTTATCTAGGGAATGATACCTATACCTAATAGTAAAGGCAGTYGGCAGTGTGCATACATCAAAAACAGATCTCCGATTTATAATATCTTGGCAATGACAAAGCACCATATATTTATTAGATACCAAGTGTATAGAAACGTACATCAGCAGACCTCGATATTATTGAACCGACACCAAAAATGATATTAATCAAATCCGCTCGGCCTTTGTCGACATCGCGCAGCCGCTCTCGCGTCGTCTCCGCAGCGTTCGTATATTGAGAGACTTATTACTGATTGATTATTGAAACGTATCATAATTATTTGACATTCGTACAAACGTGATTTGATGCGACGGTGTCACTTATCTATTACTTACATTGTGTAATTATAGTAGTGTATTGGTTTACAAAGAGCTAACAGAAAATAATAGATATAGAGGTATACAATTCAACCTGCAGGGACTATAAAATTGTGTGCAGTTCGAAATGCCAAGTGTGAAATTAAAAAGTGTGTATAATGGCCTGTAATAAATAGAATCGTTTTTTACAGTTTTACCTATAATGTTTTTCAAGGTCAATACCATTTTATTATGATGTAGTCTGTACTGTGTAGGTAAAGAAAAATATAAATTGATTACCTTACGTTTACGTGTTTGGATTAAAAGCACTTTTTATTATAATTTTTTTTTTTTATTTTTTTTTTGGTGGGTTRCATTTATATTACGTATGTAATACGAAAAAAATAAATATTTTAGCCTCTGAACTCAACAATTTAACTCTGTCCACGATAGACTGGATATTGTTGACATTATTAAAATTAATACAATTAGATATATTTTTAAATGATTATACAATCACGAAGGTAAGCTATAAAGTTCGTGGCAAATATTCTAACATCATCCGGCCAATGTCTTTACGTTTTTAATTATTTATTATTGTCATCTGAATCTGTGACGTGTGTAATAGGTACAGGTATTGGACTAGGCATAGAAACTTTTAGAAAATAAGGTAATTTAAATTTATTGCATTATTAACGCCCGTTAC